CAGAACCATTTTTATTTTTACTATTCTGTCAAACAGACTGGTTTTAAGATCTCCTAGGACCAATTTTTATGGCTATACACACTGGTAACTAAAATTCACTCATGGTAAAAATCAAACACTTCAATCACTATTTCATACATAGCTATCAAGCCCATATCTCTGCCATGCTTCACCCTATATGTTACTAGTCATTTAGAACTACTGAGACCTGTTATAGTGTATCTACCACATCTCTTCCACAAATAGGCCTAAAGGAAGTTTTCATCTTGATTGCATCACTGATATTATCTCTCCCTCACATCCAGGTGTCACATGGAAATTGATAAGCTTCTTTTCATCCAAGCTGTTAACGGTATTAACAGGTATCACTAGAAAACCAGTAGGACTACCTTTTATATTTCAATATGTACTTTTCAATATTGATCCTTTGGATGTCTTTTGAGAGAACGAGGGGATGTCCTTTAATGGGTGTAAGTAATGTATGGCATTGTACGCAATGATCTATATATTCACATCTGATTTTTCTTAGCAACTCTTCATACATTTGGTCTTTATGATGGTGGCACTCAAGCAGTTACCATTTTCCGAGCTTTCATCAGAGAAAAGAAAAACACACTTGATACAACTTATCCTATCTGCCTGCCTCTTCCATTTGCATCTCCTAAACACAATGTAAATGAACCCCTTTCTTGTCATAGCATTCTCCATATTTTAGACTTGACCCTCACAAAACTTGTTGTATTGGAAGGGCAAGTAGTTCCGGTTTCAGGCAACCAGCAAAGTCTATTTCCACACCACTTGAATAGCAATGACTGCATCCTGGATCCTGAAGTTCCTGTTTGTGGGATAAGCATTTCCCCCATGTGAAATGCTACCCTTGCCGTTCTATGTCCTCCACACCAAAGAGCCATTTTCTTTTTTTGGGTTGTTCCCATTTGGGATCTTGACACCCAAGCAGTCAGTATCAGCATGAGGGGAGAGTCTAAGGGAACCATTTGTGACTCAAGTGAGTGGAAGTGGTACTGGTGACCCTGATGAGACCTAAGTGAAGAGCCTGCTCAGAAAGTATGAAGAGTTCCCATCAACGGAGGACCCTGACGCAGAGACTAATGTGTATACAGTGTGCCTCCAGACCTGCCCGGATCACAGGCATGAAGTGGACCTGACGAAGATTTTCTCAGGAATGGCAGTGTGTCCAACTGTGATGTGAGGATGGAGGCCGCCAGCAGCTCCTTCATTCCTGACATCCAGTCCCCCAAAGCCACCAAGATCACAGTCCAGTACCTGACACTAGGGAGCTTGTGACTCGATTAACGCACTTCAAGTTTCAGAACATGACAGAATCTACTGGAATGTACCCCAGGATAAGAAACTTGTTGAAGACCTCACGTTCCAATCAGTAGAGAAACAGAAAGACTTCTTTCTGAGTGTTGTGTGCCTCAGCGCTGGGCCTTTACTGGTAACTGGGCTAAGGTGACAGACGAAACCTCTCTCCTGTTTGTCCTGCAGACGTCCAACATCTACCCAAGAGTAACTGTTGTCTCCACTCAGGCCTGCTTTAAAAAAGAGAAGCCTGGGCCCTCTGGAGTGCTGTATTTGACGCTCACTGTCGGCAACCCGATGGGAGTAGTGTAGTGGTGTATAAGTTGGTTTAGCAACGGTATGTGAAGACTTGTACTATTTTTGGATTCGGAGTGTCTGCCAAAAGTGATGGTTTTTATGTCTTTTGTACGTTGTTTTCCCTTCCTATATTTTGCTATATATGAGCTTAGTATTTCACTTTTAAAACGAAAATTCTAAACCATTTTAAATTCATCATTCAGCTTCAACAACCAGGTGGAAAAAAAAATCAAAGATGAACATCTTTGTCCTATTTGGGATATTTTTGTCGGAATTACAGGCATGGATTTTAATAACTCTTTTGCTTTTGTAATTTAATTCTTCACTTACAGATATGTCCACCTTTGTGGACAGAGGTTTAATAAGCTTTCTTATACATAGAAAAATAAAACAATACGTGTCGCTCATGGATACCATTCTCACTCTTCTTACGGAGGTTCAATAGACAAAAACTCAGGAGAGAATCTGTGAGCACATTCACACACACGTACACACACATTCACACATACACATGCACACGCACATGCACATGAAGGAGTCCATGAATCCCCATGTGTTGGAATAGAAACACAATGATGTCTCCATAAGGGCTCAGAAGGAGCTGTAATGCATCCCCGACTCTGGGACTCCCTGCTGCCTGTTTCCTGCCTTTTTCACCTAATATCTCTCGAAACAAAGTGGCAGCGACAAGCAACTCCAGTTAAATAACTCATCTAACAACCACAACTTAAACCCAAGTCATCCTGAGGCAAAACTCATCTCCCTGGTCGTTGTGATACACAGTTTGCGGGGTGTGGGTGTGGTATGAAGGCTCTCGAGGACTGTCAGTGAAGCTGTGGGTCCTTCAAGAAAACTGACAAGAGAGAAAAAAATCTCTCTGTGACTGGTGGGGCTGGGGGAAGGCCCTGGGAGAGGCCCAGGTTTAGAATGAAGAAAATAAAAAGACTGAATGAGAGCTGGGGTTATAGTGAGGACGGTGGGAAGTAGAGGGAGGAGGTTGGGAAGGTCAGGAATGGCCTGCACGGTTAGCGTGTCTACGCTCGCAGGCATTGTACAGGCAGAATGAGCGTCAAATCATCCGGAACTATGGCAGGACAGTGTTCAGTCACTCTGCCTTGGAGGATTCCGGCCCGAGAGTGGGAGTCAAGAATGAGGCTGGAGCTCAGTTCTCCAAGCTAACATAATGCTTTTTAGCTATGCTGGGCCCAGCAGAATAACCCCAGATTGCCCTGGAATAATTCCCAGGCCTTCTTCATCCGCTTAAAATTCTTCCTGGGTGTTGGACTGAAGGAATTTATTATTTGATCTAACAGTGTCTACTTTTCACTTCAAATTCCCTCCCACACTCGCCACAGATTGTCAGCTTAAAGTGGTGAGTGTAAGTAGAAGTCACACTGGGCCCTGGAGAGCCTTCAGCGCGGGAAGAGCAAGTGAGGAGACACCGAAGTGTCACTGTTTTGCAGCCTCAATGTGGACACTAAGCCAGACCCAGGTTTACTTTGATCTCATGGTTGTTTTTCAGAAAATTCATTTCCACAACATTATCATCTGGCTGTTCGACTGAAAGCTCCAACGCTTTTGGCTTTCCTTCTTTGAACTCCTCAGGCCCGATAGCACTGAGCAGTTGATTGTAGGACAGGAATTTTCTGGAACTGAGTCACAGACTTTTGGTCACCTCACCCAGTTACCGACTGGCTGGAATCAGGTCACAGGCAGGCTGTGCTGCCTGCCCCAGAGTAAGATTTGGGGAGGAGACTCCATTGCCAACCTGCCTCCCAGAATGCCTTGACAACGTAAGGGTGTCAGAGCACGGTTATTCCCAATGATACTCCCAAAAGAGGTTTCCAGCGGACAGCTCTACAAATATTTGCTCAACTGTAAAAGCAAAGGAAACCTAGCATCTGCCCCACAACTCAGTCTTTTGATTGCCTCTGTAAATAGGAGTACTAAAATGCCAAATGCAACACACGGTTAGGAAACAGTAAGAGCAACATGAAGCCTTCAGGACCACTCATTTATAGGAAAAAAAAAATCAGACCATGCAGTGGTGAACAGAGGGGAAGGATTCTAAAACATGATGCCATCATGAAGTCCAGTGCAGTACAGTGATGCAGAAGAGTGGGCTACATTTGTCATTTTTAATTTCCCAGAAGCCCCAATAAGAAGGAAAAAGAAGCCGATAGAATTAACTCGTATAATAGATTCTATCCAACTCAGTCTACCCTAAAATAGCATTTCCACCTGTAACTGATATGGAAATTATTAACAGGGTATTTTAGCTAAATTCTAAGTCTAACATGTATTTGACACCCAGAAGGCCTTTTTATTTGGACCAGCTGCTTTCCTGGCACTGAAAAAAAACCACAAAGTAGCCATCTTATTGCACAGCGTATCTGCAGATTAATTACTTATTAATAAAGAAGTATAATTAATTGATAATATAATAAATATATAAGATTAACAAATGAGAATAGTGGAGCTACAGGTAAAGACGTTGTAAGGCCTGAAGAGGGAAACTGACACTTTCTGAGAGATGAACCAAGATTCGGGGTTCACTTCAGCCTCTGTTCACTCTGCTGTCCCTTCCCAACTGTCTCCCATTTTCTCGTCTCCTATTCTCCTTGTCCCTATGGGAGACACTGTTGGAGAGTGGACAAGCCGGGGTAGAAAGAGGCAAAGAATGGGCTGGATTTGCAGCCTGTCGAATGACCTTGGATGAGTTACCCAACCTCCTTGGTCTCAGATTGCTTTTCTAAGAAATAGGATTAGTTCCTTCAGTGCTGGGTTGTAAGGATTAAGTGAAATCATAAATATAAACTGCTCAGCATCAAATGGACACTATAGAACTTTCACATTTTTAGTGGCTACTTTTTAAGATTTATATAAGTGTAGAATAAGGGGCAGAAGGAAGGAAGAAAAGGAAGCAGAAAAGAAAGAAAAAAATCGAGTGTGCGAAAGTCTCAGACTCGGTGCCGCTTCTCAGCACTCGGTGCCTCGAGGCCCCCTTGATCTCAGTAACCCGGTGACTTCCTCCCAGATCACCATAGTCCGGGCTGTGCAAACAAGCCCACAGGAGACTAAGAAAAGAAAGTTCCCATTTCACCAATTTCTCCAATGCCATAGTGACCCAGGTGGTCCGGGGGAGAACCCTCAATGGGGGAGCGCATGCCCAGGACTCTGCAAAGTGTCTCGGACACTGCTCACAGACTCTGCCATCCAGAGCTACATCTTGCTCAGTCCCTCCAGGTTCCCCCATGTTACCAGACCCAGACCCTTCCAGGTCCTAGAAGCAGCAGCCTTGCTGCCTCGGTCTCTCCTCTGCTGCCCCAGCAACCAACCCTTGGCCACTTGAAGAAGACATGAAAAGAGGGCAGACTCACCAGCTCATTCTCCTCTCCTTCATTGAGCAAAGCCTGATGGACATTCTTACTCTTCTCCATCTAGAGCAGCATGTGTGGGTCCCTTCGGACCACTGCGCGAGGGAATGTCAGGGCCACCTGTGTCTGCGACTCAGACGCTGCTTGTCATCGCTCCTCTCAGGTGCTTACAAAACCCGCTGGCACCTTGCCCTTTACAACAACAAAGGAGAAAGGCAAGGCTTTCCACGGCCACGGGATTGGTCTGCTAATTTATCTGCTTGATGTGTGTGGTTTTTTTTTCTTCCGAGTGTTTATTTACCGAGCTACATGTGAAGTGCCTCCAGCCTGAGGGAATGATGGGGGGGGTGGGGGCGGGGCAGGGGCAAGCTGTTGTATCAAAAAGTAATTTCACATGCAACCCATGAAAGTCCCCACCAAAGATTGGGAATGGCCACCGTGCTAAAAACACAAGGCAACAGAGTCTTATTTGTCTTGTGAGCGCTGTGGAAGCTCGTGGAATTTAGAGAATCTGTGAACACGGAGTGGTAATAGAAACTGGAGGAAGGGGTGTAGGACTCCTTCTGGAATCGGGGTTGAGGGGGTGGGAATGAAGTTCTAATCCCTGCTCTACTGATGACCCTGGATAAATCACTTAAAATCTGAATTTCCGGTTTCTGATATGTAAAATGTCAATGATAATTATAGGGATGATATAAGGGCTCATAATGATGTTTGCAAAAGGGTAAATGTAACTTCTGCCACCTCCATTGAGAGACAGGCAATCATCTTCTTCGCAATCATAGCACTAATCAAGGAAGAGACTTCTGGAATAACTATGGAATAACTGGATTCCACAGCTCACAAAACTGGAAGGGGGAGAGAAGAGTAAGAGAGATGATTATTAAGGATATAACCTGAATTTTCCACCCCCTGAATAATCACCCTTGAATTCGATGTTTTTCTCAAAGGGGGTAGGAAAATGGACCCATTCTTGGGTTAACTGGTTAATTTTTAATTAAGCGCACACACACACATACACACACACACACACACACACACACACACACACACACACACCAAACTTTCACTATTTTCCGTGTAGTTCATTGCATCTATCCACTGAAGGGAATCCTTTGTCTGTGGAAGAAAGTTGACTAAGGTGAAAAGCATCACCTGTTGCTTGAATGAGCTCGTGTGTGCTCCTTGACATTCAGGACAGATCAAGGTCATTCCCTGTGCGAGCCCACAACTGACTCAGTTTCCCCGTTTGAATCTGAAGTCTATTCTGAGTCAATAGAGTTCAAGCTTGCTTGCTCCGGGGCTGTGAGAAAGTCCTGATTATCCTGCGGAGCCTCCTTGAAGGGCTGTGAGAAAGTCCTGATTAGCCCACAGGAAGGAACACACTATCTAGCTGCTGATGCCAGCCAGAGGTACATTGAGATAGAAAATGAAACTGCCTGTTCCTTGACTCAAGGACGGGATAGATAGTGGTTGAATGCCTGCGCTGTGCATTGTTCTACCTCTGTCCTTCAAAACTGTATATAAGCTGGCTGTGAAATAAACTAGGGGCTGTCCGGCATTGACTGGCAAGCCTCTCGACTCTTTCTGTCCTCTTCATTGTCTCTTCAATCCACGTGCCTCTACCCAGCTACCCAGCTGACTGTCAGCAGGTTCCGACAATTCCCAGCCCTGGCTGACATCACCGATGAGAACACATACAGAGTTACAGCTTTTTATGTCAGCAAAGTGACTGAGGTGACCCTTGTCCAGAAACCTAATGGTGCCCCAAATCTTGTAGTCCAAAGTCAAGGCAGGTTCAGATTTGAGGATGGCATTCTGGTAAGCTCTGGAGAAAGACATGCGCGGCCACTCTTTACCTTTTACCCATAATCCCACTCACGTTTCTTGCTAAAGTAATTTCAGGGTTGTGTTTGTAACATGTCTAAAATGAATGCACCAAATGAGCCATAACTTGTCTAAAGTGGGTCCAGGACCCCATTCTAAACAGTAACAATAAAGGCAGCTAAGGGCAGCTGAGGGGCAGATTATCCAGGTAGTGAAAGGAAAAGATATTTTGTTGTCTGTTTGTTCTCTCTCTCTCTCTCTCTCTCTCTCTCTCTCTCTCTCTCTCTCTCTCTCTCTCTCTCTCTCTGTCCCTGTTTTTCTCTCTCTCTTCCCACCGTTGAGGATGTTGGGCTTCAAGCACAGGGCTTGTATGAGCAGGAGGAAAGAGTGTGTTTCCAGCTCTGGCGTGTAAGTATTACTCGATGGAGACGGTGGGAAAGGTAGAGTAGGTTAGAACCACGCCTTCCACTCTCTTTGGCAGAAACAAGTGTCTCAAAGCCCACTTCTCAGTTTAAAGCAGTGGTTCTCAACCTATGGGTCAAAACCCCTTTGGAGGTTGCATATCAGATATCCTGCTTATCAGATACTTACATTGTGATTTGTAACAGTAGCAAAATTGCAGTTAGGGAGTAGCAACAAAATAATTTTATGGTTGGGGGTCACCACAACATGAGGAACTGTATTAAAGGGTCTCAGTGTTAGAAAGGGTGAGAAACCCTGCTTTAATGGGAAACCAGATTTGGATGGCTGATCTAGGTCTCAAATTCCTTTGTTATTGTCTCCCCTTACCACCATATCCTTACTGGAACATTCTACTTCATCAATACTTTTGAGTTACCTACATGAGGAAAATGGTTTAATTAAGACAGACAGTAACAGTTTTCAGCATTTCGGGGCTTTACATCTTTAACACTACAATCTTCAACTTGTAAATTCTTAGAGGTACATTCTTATGAAGGGCGGGGACACCAGAGGGCAGTAAGTTAAGGTTTCTATAGACCAGTCTTGGAAGAAGTACTCTGTACTTATGCCAAAAGATGGGCCATATCTAGACAGATGACCTCACTTCCCTGCAAAGTGAACCACGAATAGGAACCAGCTGAATGCCAGGAAGGAGAAAGGGATTTGGTGGCCACCTAGTCAGTCTCAGAGAGCAGCAAAAGGGTAGGTCAGCCCAGATCTCTACAGACTCACAGTACAGAAAAGAGCAAAATGGCACCACAATGGAAGGATTAATGTGCGAGGCAGAAGTGAGAAAGGCTTGGAGGCTTACAAATATGAGGAGGATCAGACATTGGAGAGTCTCTGCAGCAGCTGTCAGGCTATGGAGAGGTTATTGTATCTCACTGAATGATCTTTTTGCAACAATTATACAGGTAAAGAGACATGTGAATTTAGGTACACGGTCAAAACATAGACTCAAATACCCTGCCCCTCTGATCATAGGCAGACCCAACCAGCCCTTTATTTTTCCATCTTTACATCCTAACAAGACCACAACAACCCACACATTCTCTACAGACAGAACAGAATAGAGGTGTGTCTTTAATACAAGTAAATATGGTTGCTCACAGTGAAAGTGTAATTGTAATCTTTCCTATTCTCTACCTTTAATTTCAAATCAGAAAATCAATAAACTAAAAATTTTGTGACAAAGCCATAGATGGATAGAAACACAATCACATTATCAAGGGTCATAAAGGGGAAAGAAACGCTTAATTCCTAAAAGGTCTTTAAGTGGCTGGAGAGATGGTTCAGCAGTCAAGAGTATTGGCTGCTCTTCCAGAGGTTCAAAGTCTAATTCTCAGCACCCATATAGCAGCTCACAATGGTCTGAAACTACAGTTTATGTGGTTCAACAATCTCTTCTGGCCTCCACTGGCATCAGGCATGAAGGTGGTATACACACACACACACACACACACACACACACACACACACACACACGTATACATAAAAGGAAAATGAAGATAAAAATCACTGTCTCTGCAAAGTTGACATTTCAGTGGTTAAGGAACAGCTGGGTCTATAGTTTAGTAGGCAATCATATGTCCATGAGAGGAATAGAGCTGGTGGGGGTAGAGAGGGAGGAAGGTCTCAGGAGTGGGGGAGACAAGGGACCAATGGAGGAGGGGCATTTTTAAATAAGATGATTGGGGATGGATTTGCAGAGCCCTAAGGGCACTTTTTTTTTTTTTTTTTTGAGACAGGGTTTCTCTGTGTAGTTTTGGTGGCTGTCCTGGATCTCACTCTGTACACCAGGCTGGCCTTGAACTCACAGAGATCCACCTGACTCTGCCTCCTGAGTGCTGGGATTAAAGGTGTGTGCCACTGCCACCCGGCCTAAGGACACGTTTAAAGAATGTTGTTAGATGAGCATTGCCCGCTTGGCTGCCTGTGCACAGAATGTTGTATATCAAGTGACTACCAAGCATCAACAATGTGGAAGCTGGGGCCTGAGAAAGGAGGCGGTGTGCTGAGAGTGTGCTCCCAGGACAAACCCTGGGACCCCAGGAAACCAGACAGCGGTGAGAGACAGCTTATTTGACGCTGAAAGAAGATAATTCTTTCCACTGCCCTCTTTTATATGACAAATAATTCAACTGAGTAACAAAATGAGTAACAGCAATTACTAGACTAGAAATAGGCAGAGTAAATGTGGTCTTGCACTGTATTTTGTATATCTGATATGACAGCCGATAGAAATTCTTAAATGAACATCACTATGCAAAAAGAAGTAATTTATTCTTTTTGACTATGCTCAAGGTGTTTTTCCAAAAGGAGAAAAAAATGTCTATTGTAATGATGAGCAGTACTGAAGCAACCAATGACTACATTTTAGTAAAAGTATAATTCCTTCCAAAAGTAAAGCCTGGACAGTTACTAGATCATCACATTGATGGGACATTTTCTTTCATAACCTACTGTCTACTTTAAAAAAATTCAAATGGTCCAGTGGGATAGCTCAACCTGTAAAGGGATAGCTCAGCCTGACAACCTGGCTTCAACCCCTGGATCCCACATGGTGGGAAGGAGAAAGCAGACTTCCATGCATTGCTCTCTGACCTCTACACACACACACACACACACACACACACACACACACACACACACACACACACACACACTTACACATACACATGAAGTGGGGAGAATAAATGATTCTTTTAAAGTAAATACTTGAGGGGCTGGAGAGATGGCTCAGAAGTTAAGAGAACTGCTTGCTTTTCCAGAGGTCCTGAGTTCAATTCCCAGCAACCACATGATGGCTCACAGCCATCTGTAATGAGATCTGGTGCCCTCTTCTGGCCTGCAGACATACATGCAGGCAGAACACTGCATACATAATAAAATACATTTTAAAAATAAATAAATTCTTGAAAAACTATAACTTCAAAGATAATATTTAAGCTCAGTAATATATTTCA